TATGAAGAAAAGATACTGAACCTTTTTTTTATTGTGCCAAGTTGTTTGTTTTTTTAAAAAAAAGTCTCTTGGTCTGAGAGTGTTCCAAATATAGTAATTTTTTTTTTCCACCTAATGAAAACTAGAAACAGAGGCTTATCAAGAAAATACTGATAAGAATCCTAGCTAAGGAAGCACTGGCAAGCCTGTTCTAAAGCATGTAACCAAACAACCCCTTTCAAATGGGTGTCTGAATTCCAATGGATTCTAATTATCTGCTAAGACAGATAGGTGTGAAGAACTACTGATATAAAGAAACTCTGGACTAAAAAATATATATGCTGTAATTTCTGGAAGTTTTAGCTTCTGTCGTTGACAGGTACTGAGTAAAAGATAAGGTAGAAAATAATGAGCTTTTGTTACTTGTATCAGAAGTTTAGAAGAGACATATTGTGAGTGAGCAAAAGATGCACCATAAAACAAACACTGCACTGAAATCATTCTCGGTGGAAATGTAAAAAGCTGCAGGGTGCTGAAGAAGATGCAGTGTCTTCCAGGCGAGAGTACTGTTTAACACAGTTTTAGAGCTACTGCTATTAGTAAGATGTAACATTCAGGTTTTTAACATACATTTTAATTAGTATACTATAAAATTTAACCTCCTATTCCAATTTTCAGTCTTTTGAGATAGACACTTCATGGTAGTTTATCTTCATCATGTATATTGTCTGCTAATTCCTACATGCTCCCACCAACAAAAATAGGCTGCTCTCATTTTTAGTTCACATTTCAATTGACAACAGGAGCAACATAAGTTTAGAAGCTGACATTTTCTCCTTTGTCAGCATAAATAAATCTTAAATTATAGATTTCGTATTACCATTTTCATGCATTAGGACCAGATCAGGGTCTCGGAGAGCCTCCCCTCTGCTGAACAGATTCTCAGTTGCATCTGCATTCCCACTGAAAGGTGCTGTCAGGGTTAGGGTCTGGCAGTGTTTACCCTACCTATTGTCATTAGAATCACAGTGAAGAATCACACAGCTACATCATTACTGAGGGAGCTGGGTGTAGCACGTGTAGTTAACGCATCAAATACCATCAGTATGCACAAAGTCCATCTCTGCTGTCGGGGCATGTGTTGTCGTGAGGTTCCTGCCTGCTCTGCTGTGCTGGCAGAGGAGTAACACCTGAGCTCCACAGGGACCAGCTGGGTATCTGCTGGTGGAAGGAGCATCTTCTGCAGGTGCTGTCCCACTCAAATATACACCCTTGTGTAAAAGATCACAGTAACTTATTCGGAAATATGACTTATGTGGAGGTTAGATCAAAACCTGGCTGGCAAAAGTTGAAAGCCAGTATAAAGCCAGAGATATGCTGTTTTATTACATCATTAAAAAAATATCTAGATTCTCCTCTAGCAGGGACTACAGGCTGGAGACTGACAGAAAAGAATAAAATAGCTGGGAATAAATTTTATGTAGCTATTTTCTTTCTCCCTCAAATGTGAGTGCTTATGCAAAACACATTGCTGTAGATTCACTGACAATAAAGAGGGAATCATTATACGAGTACTGGATTCTCAGGAGAACACTTTAGCCAAAACACACTCTGCAATAATTTCCCACATCTTAGTTGAATAAATTAATTTATGAATTTTCCATGAATATGTTCAACCGTTTCTCCCCTCATATATTTTATTGATCTCCATATACATTTAGCAACAAATAACGGAGCTGCTTTTCCATTTGCAGTAAAATAGTTTAGAGATGTTTATGTGGGCCTTGGGGTTCGTAGTAAACAAATGCAGTTCAAACACCAGGGAGGTAGCAGAGAAACACGTTCTGTACCCTGCATCTTTTTATTTTCATGTGAGATGGAGGGTGGTAAAAGGAAAGAGGGCATTTGGGTTTTCTCCACAAAAAATAAAAATGCAGTGGCCATGGTCTGGGGAAAGCCAGCAGGCTCCTTCCAGACTGTAGATGCAGTGGCAAAGTAGTCTGAAAACTTCGTTATTGCTCCACAAGACATCTTCTGTGGCCACTTTGCCTCTGAATATCACTTAGTTTGGCTTAAGCAATGTCTTTAAATCCAAAGTTGAGCTACTCATGTAGGTTATTATAGCAAGTAAGCACACCATCACATGGAAAGTATGAGATCTCCATGTTTTTCTTTAGGGAAGGGAAAAACTGTTACATACAGTGATTAGGTGCTGAAAAGTAATCAGTATTATCCCAGTTTAATATTTAGAATGATGGAGTTCTTTCATCTTACTTCCCAACACCGAGCTACCTCCTCACTTCTGTGAATATGTATACAAACCAACGTCCCAAACTAGTAGGGTGGGAATATAATGTGGTTAATCCTATGAGTAAATTTACTCAATTGTGACTGCACCATTGTGATCTTCAAATTTAGCTCTTCTCCTTGCTTTGCGTGCTCAGATCATAGAGACAACCCTCTTTAAGCAGTTTAATTTTTGGTTTATTTTGAGCTTTTTGGTTGTCATTCTTAGCAATTGTAAGGAAAGCGAAGGAAAAACTTGCCTTGCTGTTGCCAAGTGTAAAGCTCGCTCTTTCTTAACATAACAACAGGCTTGAAATAGGTCTTACCATCTTAAAGGTGGCATTTGAAGTATAATTGCTAATGCTTAGATACATAATTTACATTTATTATGCATAATAAAATATGTAACTAATTGATGTTCTGTAAGGGATTAAATGATCAGCTCCAGCTGCAGGAAGGTGATTTATGCTTGTGTTCTCAATAACATATTGACTATCAGAATAGGCTGCAGAAAGAGTCGTTGCCTTCAGGATTGTGCACTCGGAGAGCGTTCTTTCTCCTTTCTCCTGTTCTCCTCTCCTACTGACATGCTTTCTGTGGGGTTCGTGTCCTGTACAAAGTGTATTTGTGGAGCAAACAGATAAAAAATAAGTGATTATATTCTCATCGGTCTTGCAAGAAATTAGTGTAAAGCACCAGCTAAGCTTGCACATGTTTGTGTGTGACCATGCCTTTTCTAACTGGGGAGGGCAGAACATAGAATCATAGAATGGTTTGGGTTGGAAGGGACCTCAAAGATCACCGGGTTCCAACCCCCCTGCCATGAGCAGAGGCACCTTCCACTACACCAGGTTGCTCAAAGCCTCATCCAACCTGGCCTTCCTGCAGAGCATGCGACCACCAGGGTGCATTGAGGTTCTGAATGGCCAGGAGATAATGACAACAGATAGGATGTAGCCACAGGATAATGGTCTCCTGTTGGTAGATTAAAGCCTGGGCAGAGATGAGCCCTTTTAACAAAAAACACACAGAGGCAAAGCCAACACATTTGCAGTACTCTCCAAGCAGGAGTCATTTATCTTGTAGCAACATCCCGTTCTGTTCTCTTCGCTGCTGCCGTACCAGAATAACAGAAGATGATGCTGTGATTTTTGTCAGAGGCTGTTGCTAGACGAGCTCCAGTGGCCCACTGTGTCCTCACTGAGTCCTCACTGAGTAACGCCATGGTCTTCTGCTGTGCATCCTTTGGCCTTCAGAAAAGCTGCACGTTTCAAAACTCACTGTGCAAGCAAGCTGGCCTACTTTTAAATGAAAAAGAATTAATCTATGATAAAACTCAGACTTACCAAAAGGATTTTACAGCCCAACGTTTCCAATTTCCCCTGGCAGGAGGCAGTGTCTGCAGGGAGGAGCGCCAGCCTCAGCGCTGCAGGCAGTGCTCCCCCGTGCATTAAGTGTCCTCAGATTCTGAGCTGGTAAAATCAGTGCTTGAAGACAAAAAACGGGCTTGAATTTAGCTCATTAGGTATCGAGCCAAAGAGAATTCCTTGCACGTTTTTGTTCCTGCTTCTGCGTGCTGTTTTCTTTTACTCCGTTTTATTAGTACGTTAGTCCAGTCTCCAGCAACCACGCTGCTGGGCGCAGGCTGGGGAAAACATCCTCGGGGCAGTGCTGCAGAGAGGACAGCTACACAGACAGAGCTCTTGGAGGAGAGTCAGCACTGAAATACATAGAATGCAAACAGCCAAGGCTGTGAATAGTCAGTATGTTATAAATCAGGGCTTTTTAACTAGCACGCTTTTGCAATATTAATTCTTCTGAGTTTTCTCATTCATCCCATACTGCACATGTCCTGCTGTCCTAAATGGCTTAAACGTGGTGACTGTCAAGAAGTGCTGTAAATCCCATCTGCTGAGGTTTTAGGAGAGGGAAAGGAGCAAGTGACAATACACATGCAGATATAGGGAACTATACTGCTCAAAGTTTAATCTTCACTCCTCAGTTTTACGGTTTTGTTGTATTTCTGGAGTTGATTGCACGATGGATGGCTCTTTTTAGGGATGGGGCTGTTAACTGTTAAGGCAATTTATAGTTATTAGTCATTTAAAATTTCCTCCTTGTTGAGAGAAGCTCACCTGGTGTTGAAGGATCAGTCTCATCAGATGATGAGCTGATTTCTTTCACTTCTCACTATGGTGAGGATTAGTGTCTCTTCGTGGATGTTATTCAGACCCAGCCCATTGCTTGCAGTGGAAGTTGAGAGCTCCTAGCTCCTCAGAAGACCCAACTAATAAATTAGTAGTGGTAGATGATAGATGCCAGGTGATCAGGTGATAGATGGTATGATTTCACACCTGAAACATGGTAATGCAGCACAGGAAACACAGGGGATTCTGGAGGTTTCTATTTTCTTCCCAACTTTGCCACTGATCTCTTTGGTGACCTGGGAGAAATTGTTTCAACTTTCTGTGCTGCAGATTCCATGTATTTAAGCAAAGAATAATAATGCTTTATGAGGCACGTTTAAAAGTGTCATGCAAAACTTTGCATAGGAAGTAGCTATTATCATTGTTATCTGTAATAATAAAAACAATGGCGTTTTCAAAAGAGACTGAAGTTTTGCAGTCTGTCCAATGCCATTACTGCTAAATGCAATTTCTCATTTAAGCCACAGCTGCTGCTTTTATATCTTGTCCTAATTCAAAACGTATTCTTGCCTTTTTTAATGATTCTAGTGCAAGTTGGAGTTTCATGCGTGTACTTCTGGCAAAACCATCACGGCTCGATGCGAAGGGCCCTGCCCCTGCCTTCCAGGACCTGAAAGTTCAAAACACAAGACTGAGAAGACTGGTGAGTTGAGCTGTTAATGGAATTATACCAGATTAATTGTTTGTGTTCTCAGAAAAATGTCAGAAAGACTGTTTTTAACTAGTACACTTTGTCTGTAACAGTTTTTGAGAAGAAGCTACAGTACAACTAATCCTTTTCTAAACATGTAGTGCTTTCAAACATCGTAACTGCTGCAAAACTAACAATAACTTGATAGTCTCATAGGAAAACTGAGTTCTGGCCAAGGATTCTCGCTTTTGAGTGAAAAGAGATTGAATCATCGTAAAAAAAAATAGAAAGAAAAAATACTACTTGATGGTTCATTCCTTCATAAGTAAAAAAAAAAAAAAAAAATCAGTAGCCTGTGCATTAACCAAAAAGTCATTTAAAGTCGCATCTGTGTTACATGGGATCTGAATGATCATTTTGATCTTTATTGTTATCATTAGACGTCAAATAAGCATATATCTATATTCATATATAAAATTGTTTCAACAACAAACCCATTGCCAATGCTGTTGTGTAAAACCAAACATTAGAGTCTCAGCACAAATGGCCATTTTCCCTGCCAGCTCTCGGTGGGTTCCCTGTTTAGGTCTGTAAGCCCAGCAAGCTGATTCACTCCCCCAGGTCTTTTCCAAGGAAGTAAGCACAAGCTGTCTCGGAATGATCTCATCCAAAGGGAATTAGTTCTTGCAAAAGAGACTGACTAAAAGCAAAACTGCAGCAGCAGGGCACGTGCCACAGCCAGGTTGTGTCTAAGGGTTTCCACCCTGTTATGGGGAAAGCTCTTTGGAAGGGAAAAGAGTTGTTGATTGTGGCTGTGATTTCTTGACACGAGTGCAGATGTGCTGGTGAGAACATCTGTGAGAGTGAATACCAACCTGCGTTCAAGTACAGCGTTGTCTCTCCTCTCGTGGAAGGACCACTAAGAGGGTTAATTCACCGACAGCTGCTGGGCTCCTGCCTCTATTAGTAGCTCATAAAGCCAAAGCAGTGACTTACTCGGGGTTTACTCTGTCGTGTTAAGCAGTGAAATGTGTTTATTTGCCTCGTGCACCCCGTGGAGCATGAAAAAGATAAAGCTTTGACAATGGTCTGTTTGACCCAAAATATTTGAGAACCTCTCTTTGCTCTTGCTCCTCCCCACCATGGACATGTTCCAACAGTAACAGGCACAGAAACATGGGGGAAAAAAAAGTTTAAATGACGTGTCCTCTGGTTAGTTCAGGCCCTGTCGCTTAAGCTGAAAACACTGCAGATCCTGCTGCTGGTGCTCCACGTGCTGCAGCCTCTGGTACCAGTTTTTACATCAGGCTCTGTCTAGTTTCTAGAACAAGAAGTATATTCTCCAGCCTTGTTTTTGAAAATTTAGGTTTATTCCATTTTTCGCAAATCACAGACGTTTTTCTGCGTAGCTATCCAACTTAGATGAAGTATTTTAGATGGCAAGGTTCTGAAATCAATATATAACTGTGATATTGCTTTATGTGGCTTGAATCTTTTGGCTATAGTATACCCACTGATAAATTGCCTTATTCATATTTCTGTTTCTTGTAGTTGGGCACAAACATATACTTTTCTTCTCATAAGCTGCTCCCTGCGTGCCCTCTTTGCCCTTATCAGAAAGAGTATCAGATCAATAAATCTTCAGTGACGTTTTAAGCTTACAATTTCATTCACACAAGAAAAAAAAGATTCTAATAACCCTTATCTTGATAAATGTAATTTGACAGGGTAGATGTATTCTGAAACCCAGGCTTTTGTTTTGCTTGACTCAAAACTTTAACTCCAGTCAACAAAACATTAATTTAATGGATTGAGTGATCTGCAGAGCAACTTTCCTGAAGGCTTTTCCAAAAGGCCAAACTTGAGCTAACAGTACTCCTGCCATTGCCTTGTTGACAAGGAAATTAAATGCCTCAACTGCCATCCTCAGTGTGGCATGAAGAAAGTGCTCTGTCCCCTTGTAACAGCACAGCCACTGGGGAAATAAGGGCAGTCATTGCCACGTGGGTATGGAAACATTGCAAACACTGAAGAACACTAGTTATCTCCTGCATTGAGTGTATAAAAAGAAACTGCTCGTGAGCCTGATTACAGTGTTATGGGCAAAATGCTTGTATAGGCATGGGAGTGATTGTGTGTGTGCATATATATATATATGAGAAAATAATAGCAGTATAACATTTTGCTTTATCACAGTTTCTTTCTGGGGTTATGTGCTGAAATGCCTGCAAAAGGATTTGATATTGAGAATCAAATAATCAGTAGCAAAGGGCCTTTCTAGCTTGCTTTATTTTTTCTTCTGGATCTTTGAATGTTCCAGTAACATGCCAGTTAAAGACTTCCTTTAACTTATCTCCTTGCTTCAGACGTCGTCTCTCCAGTTGGCCCACTGAGTGTAATGGGAGTCTCAAACTGACTATTTCAGAGTTTGTCAGTCTTCTAACAAAGATCTCCCAGAAGTTTCCATGCGAAAACATGAGTACATTCTATGTAAGAGTACGAATTTTACCCAGGTGCAATTTTAGCAGCACCTGAAGAGGGATGTGGAATTGTGTGTGTCTGCTGTTCACAGGCTGGCAGCCAGCCCAGCTTTCCTCGGGTTGATGGGAGATCTATGAATTCTAATTGCTGACCACAGGAAAAATTTCCGTAGTGCTGCCTTTCATAAGATCCCTTTATTTGCTCAGCAAGTAGTGAGTGTCACCTGGCTTTGGAGAAATAAGCCCTGAGGTGGCGAGGGTGAGATGTACAGGGCAATCACATGGCAGAGCGCGGTTGTCCCCTGAAGCCTGGTCGTGGCAGCTCTCCAGTGATCTCCCCTTCACCCCATCTTCAGCATCTTCAGACCTCCCAGTCTGGAGCTTCTGACTAGCGTTTTGGTTACTTGGTATCTTAGTGTTTTCTCTGGTCTTCACCCAAAATTATTTTGTTTTCCTCATATGGTACAATAGTATCATTAATATTGCTGAATTGGTATAAAAATCAGTAGTTTGATTTCCTCATGTAAAAATCTATATAAAAGAATTGTGTGGAAAGCTGGGGCTCGGTTTCTTCTCACTGTTTAGTTGCCAGGTTTGTGAAATCTGTTCAAATATAGCATAATTTCAAGTAGGAAATGATAGAGAGCTAATCCTCATGCCTCATACAGACATGTCAGTGGAAAAATACTAAGGAGAATTACAGCACAAATGCTTCCAGCAAAATGGAAATGCAGCTCATAGAGCTACCACAAAGTTTTTTATGCCTCTTATACAACAAGGTTAAATGTATGTGGTTTTGAACTTCCAATTTGAAGACAGTTTGCATTAATCTTTGCACATTCATTCAATCATCTTTAAATATTATTCCATAATAAATTACTTTCAGAAATTAAAAATGTAAAGGAACATTTAATTTCCAGAGTACTATAATTCTAAATGTCGTGACCTTTTTTTTTATACGCTTGTGAATAAAATTGGCAGCAGCATCAAAGAAAAGCAATCTAAGTGTATGTGCTCGGAGGTAACAATTGACTGCGGTGTCTGAGTTGTATTCCTGCCTCCTCCCTGGGCTCTTCTGAAAACATTTCTGCTTTGAGGACGGAAATCAAGACTAATAATCACATTAAAAATTGGAATTCCTTTTATAGTGCTAACTGGTATTATGGAGATGTTAATAAAATAACACAAACGCTAGCAAAAGAAAACTACACCAGAATGATTATCTTTAATGGCAAATAACAACAATATAATCTTTCTACCATAAAGTTAAATCTTTGAAGAGATGGCAGGATCATGTTCTTCATTTTCTTAAATGGAATGTTGAGTCTGAGAGATAAAAAACAGGACTCTGTGAGGGTACTAATGGAAGATTTTGGAAAAGAAGACAAGCCCTAATGCTTTCTCTCTTTTCTCTTTGAGGGACATTTAGATTCCTTTGGTTTATCAAAACACTTTATATGCTTCATTATTCACAGCAGTATCCCAGCTTTACCATATGCTTCCTTAATAACCGCTGATTTCAACTCGGCTATGCAGAGACAAAGGTTGAGCTGCAATCTGAGGTTAGGTGCCCTTTCAGAGCATACATGCTCCTTTATCTAATACTATAAAATTAATAAGGCTGTAATTTCAACAAAAGAAAGGGACTGGTAACTGACTCTTAGTGGCACATAAGTGACAGAAGTTATTTAAGACACGAAGTCCAGTCTGCCGTGGTTTTCAGGTACCTCTTTCCAAAAGCTCTGCAATATTAGCTGGAGTTCTCCTTGGGCATAACTTATTTTGGCACTAGCTGAAGCTTCTAAAACCCCTCCATAAGCAAAGGACTTCAGAAGAGAAACGACCATTTTCAGTTCTTCAAGACCTATTGGCAAGGCAAGAGGTTGTCCCTGGAATGTGCAGTTCGTGCTGCCAAAAAGGTAACATTGTGCAATGATTGAGGCGTTTCTCGGCAAATGTGGATGTGTAGTTGTCATGATGTGGTTCCGTCTGCTTCCTCCATACCTGTGTGACTCGTCTTCGTTACGTGTGTTGGCAGTGTAGTAGCTCAGGTAGGACGGTAACGTTTAACAGCATGTCAGGGCTCTTTCTGACCATAGCTCCTTTTTGTGTTTTCGAAGAAGTCGAGTGCTATTCTCTCAACATACTAGTCTTGATTTGTTGCCATCAGGGTTGCAGAGCCACTGGAGCATGAACAGATGCAGTAATTCAAAGTAGGTTTATCCTGATCTGTGCATTGTGTCTTTTTGACCTTGCAGAAATGCCTGAAGCAACTTCTAAGGAAATGCTATTATCTTGATAAGGGGAATGTAAGGTCAATAGGCAGAAGAAAATATATTCAATTATACTGAGTGTTGTTTAAATTTCTAAAGGGAACCAAGAGAACATTTTTAAGTTAAAGGAATAGGTCTTGGCAAGCTCGATCAAGAATCTACCTTGTTTGGAGTATAGTTTAGGATATGAATTGGAGCATTTACCTGCCAGCCCTATTGGGTGTGATGGATGAGAAGGTCTAATGTTCCATTCCTTTGT